TGTACCAACTGCGACAAACACTACATCGGACAAAGCGGACGCCCCCTCCACCTACGCCTACATGAACATCAATTAGCAGTCAAACGCCATGATATCTCTTCACTTATTTCAATACACGTGGATAACTACGGACATTCATTCGATTGGGAAAATGTAGAAATCTTAGACAGAGGAAACTCCAAAAACACCAGAGAATTTCTAGAAGCCTGGCACTCAGGTCAATCAGCAATCAACAAACATATTGAAATCAATCCAATTTATCAACCAATCAGAAAAATCATGCATATATATAAGAACAAAAATCAAAACAATGGGAGACACAACCTAAACAAAGAAGTGAACAATGATAAATTTAAGGTCAACAAGAACCAATCAACATCGAGGTGCACAGAACAAGCTGTGAAACACATATGGAGAAAATCGAACACTTCACTTCAATCTGAAGTTTGTGCTGATGATGTCGTTCAGAAGAACGATGAAAGCTCCACGACCAAACCATCCAGCTCAGAGAACAAAACTCCATCAAAATCATCCACCTGAGCTGCAAATCTTCTCCACCATCTCAAGTAAACTGTATGTAAAACAAGATGTTATTATAACTAGCTTTATTTCATATTATATTTTTCGGCATAACATTAAATTCTCAGCACAAAGTATTTCAACACGTTTCCGTCTCTTACTACTTAGCTGATCCTGACGATAACATATTGAGTGATCACCAGTTAGAAATTAACAATCCAGTCAATCGACATCTAAATAATGTACATTCTTTTTACATACATATTTCCAGCAACCACGATATCTCTGATTGGGTTTTTTTGTAACTTGGACAACGAAAGGTTGTACACTTTTCAGAAACGCACTTAAATAGTTTATGCAATTAATAACCATATTGATGTATTAAAACAAACAAAATTAGATAACTTGTTGAAATATCTAGATGGTAAGAACAGGCAGGTCAGATGTTCAAGCGGACAGCTTGCTTTATTGGTCAGTTAGTCAGATATTTACATAAGTCATTTAGTCAACAATACAAACGTATGACTTTGAAGGTATGTATCAAATGTTTGATAATTATAGCAGTTATGAAGAGAGCAAATAAATAAATACGAAAAATATTCTATTAAAAATTTTATTTTAATAGTGAAACTACCAGGACGAAACGGCCGTCCAGTGCTTCCAGGTTTTCAATGGTGGTCTAGCTTCAACTGACTCTTGATTTCAACCTGTGAAAATTTCTAAAACTCTCCACAAAACCCATTCTGAAACTAAATACTTTGAATTTCATGTATTTTAAGAATTCACATGTGTAGTGTTCATTTTATCAAGAAAATAAAATGGAATTCCTGTGATGTAATCAAATATCCATAATGCTAACTGGTAATGTAAATGTAGAAACATTACCATAAATAACTGAAAGAAAATATACCTTTTTCAATGTAATAAAAACTTCAGCATTAACCGAAAAGAATTCATGAGTGTATCATAATTAATGTAAGTTTGGATTATATAAAATTTTGGTAGAGTAAAAGACATATGGTTTTAAGGAATTGAAATGGGATTTCATCTCGAATTGAACCATTGTAAACCAAGGTGTATGAGATAGTTGCTTCGTGACAATATAATATTTTTCAATATTGACAATCCATGACTCAAATAGCAGTGGAAAACAAGATATTCACAAGGTTGACATTAAATAGCTATAACGTCTTGATCAACAATCTTCGTCGAGATTTTAATGGGAATAATGACAATCAAACCTACTGAAGATAACGAAAGATCAAGAAACAACTCTGTCATAATTATTCAATAATTTCGATAGTGTAATAAGAAGACAAAGATTATCAAATCTACGTGATGATATATTAGCGCAATACATTTGGAACAATCTTATCAAATATATACTTGTTAAGAACATTTATACATAAAAAATAAAAGATTAACCAGACTAGAATTAGTGGGTAAGAGGAAACAAGGATAATGAAGAAATAATATGAAAACGATTTGAAACATCTTCACTCTGGATAATAAGTTAATATTACTAGGGTAGGTTTAAGGTGAGAACAAACTGCTTTCGGATACACAGAGGGGAATTGAATTTTCGTATGGCTAAGGCTTCAATAAACCATAGTGCATTCCCTTTTACATTTTTGTACAACACCACAAAAGCTGAGTTAAGATAAATCTTATGACCTGTTTCAATTATGTGTTTGGCAAAAGAGGATTATGGATGTTTATCCTCTATTCTATTTGTTTCTGCAACCATTTAGGTACATAAATGTATTAATGTATTTGTAATATCCCAATCAATAGAAAAACTAAATTTTCTGACTTTTCGTGATTAAGTTTTGATTATTTATTCTCTGAAGAGGTGGCTCACACTGAGTCACGAAACGTCAGAAACTTTACTTTTTCTATTCATTGGGATATTGCAAATACAATAATTTATTTAAAACAATCTAACCACTGCTCGATTTATTCGAAATTATCATGTTAAACCTTGGTAATGATACCTACATTTAGGTACATGTTTATACACTGATTTTTAGATCACTACTACTCCTTCTTTTTGGTTTTCGATGAAGCATGAACCCTGTTGTTTCTTTGATAATCACTTTTGCCGCACAATATGTTTTGTTAATGACCGATTTAAGCCTTTGCTTCAATAAAAGACAATTTCAATCACCTTTAAATGGTAAGGTGATGTAGGCCGGCTTTTTTTTCAAGGTTATAGTAGGTCTTACTGTACCATGAACTGTGCATCTATTTATGAATTTAAGGGGATAGCCGTTTTGCATTAATGTTTTATTTAGCAACCTAACACTGTCATCAATGGCGTCATTTGTGCAAATACGATCACGCATTTTGATGGAGTTTTGTTCTCTGAGCTGGATGTTTTGGTCGTGGAGCTTTCATTGTTCTTCTGAACGACATCATCAGCACAAACTTCAGATAGAAGTGAAGTGTTCGAATTTCTCCATATGCATTTCACAGCTTGTTCTGTACACCTCGACGTTGGTTAGTTCTTATTGACCGATCATGCCTGCTAATTAGGCACCTAATTGATTTGATTTTTGTTCCTATGTTTGTGCATAATTTTCCTGATTGGTTGATAAATTGGATCGATTTCAATGTGCTTGTTGGTTGAGTGTCCGCATTGAAAATGTAAAAATGTGGAAATCTTGGATAGAGGAAATTCCGAAAGCACCAGAGAATTTTTGGAACCCTAGCACTCAGGTCAATCAGCAATCAACAAGCACATTGAAATCGACCCAATTTATCAACCAATCAGGAAAATTATGTACAAACATAGGAACAAAAATCAAATCAATGGGACACACAACCAAAACAAAGAACTATGATAAATTTAAGGTCAACAAGAACCAATCAACATCGAGGTGTACAGAACAAGCTGTGAAACACATCTGGAGAAATATGAACGCTCCACTTCTATCTGAAGTTTGTGCTGATGATGTCGTTCAGAAGAACGATGAAAGCTCCACGATCAAACCATCCAGCTCAGAGAACAAAACTCCATCAAAAAAGCAACACTGATATTGAATTATCTTGTGAAAACAAATGACAGTATAGTTTTTATCATAGATTGAACAGATGCAAGAAAAGATTTTCTTGGAACTTTTTAAATTCTATGTTAAGAATGATTTGTCACCTAATAAATGGTCACTGATTAAGGCGATTATTATGTGAATTTCCGAATAATGAACTGACATTGACTAGATAACCAATAGAACTAAGATGTACTGGACAGCTACTTTGTTCTATAATAGAACTCCATGTGAGCTCAAACTCTGATCTTCAGGCTTTATGGCAAACAATTAAAATTCAGGACTATGGTTTGACATTCCGCGGTCCATATTTTAAACTTTTAATCTAACAACCTTCACAACACTCAAAATTGGCAGTCACCACATGATCGTTCTTGACTAATTTCGAAATGTAATACTGGGATTTCTAGTGGATCTTCAGAACATTGGAGTTGAAACACGTTATTTATGAGACATATCAGCAGTGCTATTCAATAACAGATGCGCAGTATTAAGAATTATTTTATTATAGCACAAAAGTTTAATAAACTCATAACCAATAAAAATGTAAAATTAACGCAGTTTTCTTTCTTCCACAATGACTAGTTTCAGTATTTTCGGTTATGAATAATAAGTTTTGTTTCTTTCAACATAATTTTCCTATTTTGATTGCTATAAACCATTCCTTTGAGTAATACAAAACCTTCAAGGAAAGAATATTAGGTATGTTGGATACATTATACTCCCCTTTTATATTAAATTTACTAAACATGTATAATTGAATGAGATATTGTTGTGATAAACTTTGCTGTCTTATTTCATCATCAAAATACATCAATGCAATTATGATAGAAATTAAGTTTAGCCGTTTCTCTTGATTTTACTTGTCATGGTTTTTGTGGGATACTATTTTAAAATGATACACACGGAGAGTTAATTAGAAAGGAACATATATGACGTGAGTGTTAGCCATGATTGTTCATAACTATATTCCACATGAAGTTAAATTCGAAACACTATCTAGTTTCAGAGTGGTATACTCAATCTATTTTTATTGTGTCCAACTATCCAAAGCTTTACTTGGTTTACATTGTTATTTTTTCATGACTGTTGAGTTGATTTTATTTCAGTAGGATTATTTCACAATAACCTAAGCCTAACAGTGGAAATTTTTTGACATACTATTAAGAATATAGTGTAGGTGTTTGTTCTGGCAAAAAGAAATAAAACGTGGTTCTAATGCTTTCCTGATATTGTAACTGTGAACACATGCATGTGGTTTTATCAATACAAGTGAAAATAATGTACATCATGTGAAAATTCATATAAACAATGAAACGTAAGTGAATATTCATACGTATAATTTCCAGCTTAGGTGGTTTATGCATACGCATACGTTGACGCAATACAATTTACCATTATGCATACATACACATTAATCATATGGGTTATATAAAATATCGTAGTTATAACGTATGAATTGAGAATGTAAGATGTATTGTTTACAAATCCAGTAAATAATTAATGTGAATTATTTCTATGTAAAATATGTTTGTGTGTGCTCAGAGTAATCACTATCGATAAGTTTATATATTGATGTAATTTCTTTAGTTCTTTGACAATTCATGTAGCTTGTTGAAATAAGACTAGACTAATTTATTGTAAAGTTGTATATAATTGAACAGCGTAATGAAAGAATAATATAATTATTGATTTCTTGGATTGTTTTCCCATGGATATTTTAACAGATACATTACATGCACTACATATGAGATACCCTGAGATAAATTTATTTTTCATCAAAATAAAATCCATGGTTGCTTACTGATTAACTAAAATTTCCTTTTGATGGATACCTATATAATTGTCCTCAGTACAATTATCTGTATTATATTTCTATTTTATGCATGTAACAATTATAAGCAATGACATCTAGTTCATCTCCAATGCACAATAATTGTAATAGCAGTTTTAATGGTAGCGGCTCTATCAACGGGACTTTGTGCAGAACCGGCAGTCTTGGATTTATTGATGAAGTGCTACGTTACTCTGGAACTAAACAATATATATTCTTACAAGTTCACGTCTGTGCAATTCACCAAGTGACTTTAAGAGATATATCAGATTTTCATGAAACAGATGCTTTAAGCTATATTGAAAGATATTATAAAAAAAGAAGAGCTCATTGTACTGCAGCTTTACTAGAAGATCGAATTTGTTTACGACGTGTTAAACAGTCGGGAAAAATGCCATTTCATCCATGGGTTGTATATAATGAAATAAAGTATATATTCATAAGCCAGAAACGACCTGAATACTTTGTCTTGTGTATCGATTCAAATCATGACCGGAGAAAATACTATGAAATATACAAATGTAAATCAGCTGATGATGTTAAACAAATTGAAGAGAAGATGAAAGCAGCAATGAGGGATCCTGATAAGTTACTACGTAAAATGCATATTTTAAGCCGTATTAGTTTACCTCCTAAAAATAATGAAAATCAAAAAGAGTTGGTTCCGAATATCATGGTAGAAGATGTAAGTAAACTAAATGGTGATGAAGATAATAAAAATATTTATAGTAATATTCATGATAATAATAATAAAATTCATAATAATAATAATAATAATAACAATAATAATAATAATAATCGTAATATTAACAATAATGGTGGTGGTGGTAGTAGCAGTAATGATAATAACAGTGGTAGTGCTGACAATGAAATCGATGTCAAGAAAGACAAAAAATCTACTAGTTCCTTAAGCCCCGTCACACCAGTGAAAGATTTAACTCTAGAATCATTGAATGAAAATTATGTTGTATCTAGTATTTCAATTACTCCCATAGAATTTTTTCATCATTCACCTGAATCATTAATTTATCAAATAAAACAAAGTGTATACGAACCATCTCAAAATACACATTCACTGCCCCACTCTATATCATCAGAAAGTGGAGATATTCATGTTGAAACTCGAATTAATGATATAATAGATAAAATAACATTTATTAATCATGATCCACTAAAAGGATTTTGTGAAAGTCAAGATGGAAATTTTTATATGTTTTTAGATCGTCAAGAATTTCATTTGAATAAATACATTGATAGAGAAGAGAGTTTTATCATATCTAATCAAAAAGAATGAGAACTTTAAAATTACCACTTATTATCAAAGAATTATAACTATATTTCTTATTACTTCTTCTTCTTCTTCTTCCTCCTCTTCTTCTTCTTCTTATGTTCATGACAATCATTAAAATAGTATTTTCTTCATGATTAATATATTCTGTTATAATGTTGATTGATACAAAATTGACTTATCCTTTCATCATGATTACATTCCTAAAAAAGACGAAGTATTTAAACGACATTGAGAAATGATACAATTTGATAATAGAATGAATAAATCTTTAATATGATAAACATATGCTGAATAAATCAAGAATCGTTTAAAGAGAAAACAGTTAAGAGAATAACAAATGTAAGATTTGGAATTTTCATCAACTAGATAATGTCCTATCAACAACTTTAGCATTTCAATGTATATTAAACTATTTTTTAGGATACATCCATATTCTTATTGAGAAATGTAATATATCTTGTGAATCATTTTGACACTTTGTAATTAAAGTGAGTGTTGTATTATTTCATTAGTTATTTGTATGTACTGATATTGTTTATATAAAGATTTATAAGTATAGAGTTATTAACATCATTCTTACTTACTTACACCTGTTACCCTTCACGGCGGAAGGAGCATAGTTCGTTTACCAGCATTCTCTATCCAACTCTATCCTGAACATATTGGCATTATATAGAAAAATATTGTTTTCTAGTTAATCTGCCAACATTTTATAATATAAATTTTATATACACAAATAGATTCCCTAGTTTTGTTAATCAAGAAAAAGATATAGCTAGAATAAACATGTGTTGGATTGATTATATAAGATCAAAACAACAAGTTAATCCATAGTGTATAATTTAATAAGAATCACTAAAATATACCACAGATGATTTAACCTGAAAATAATTTTGTTAGAATTAAAGTTGAATTTTATGAAGCTGCCTTCAATGAATAGTCGGAACCCTAAAAATCGTTTGATCACAAATAATCAACTGTTAGAGGATTGCACAAGTTGAAATCATAAGCTAATTGAAGCTAGACCACCATGGAAAACCTGGAAGCACTGGACGGCCGTTTCGTCCTAGTATGGGACTCCTCAGCAGTGCGCATCTACGAACCCGCCCCCCGCGGAATTGATTATATTTTCCTCAAAGTTTTTTTGAATATACGTTAATTGCTTCGAGTAACGCTTGTGAAGTATTTAGTACTGACTTATTAGATTTTATTATTCTCAAACTGAACATAATGCTTTTGAATATGGATAGATTGAAAGCAGGGAAAACGGTTAAGTTTTACAATGAACAACAGTGCAACTATTCTATGTTCGATCTCATGAAACGATATCTGACAATGAACAAAAAACAGATGATGATATGACAACATTTTTCAAAGGATTTTTCGTGGATCTTTGTAATTAATTGAAACAAGAATTGATTTTTCACTTATGCTTTTTAACTGCACTAACAATTCTAGACAGAACAGTTACGGTCAGGAGTTAAAATGCATCAATTTAAACGGTTTTATGGTAGTTGACATTTCTGTAAGAAAAAATATACAGCTTAAACGAAGTTTTGTTTTCATTGAGAGCCTGTTATCTTACTTGATACTTTGAAATAAACATACATTTGCTGAAACTAGGGTAAAGTGTTCATAGTAGGATGTTAATACTAGCAATATCGTAGTATCAAAATGGCAAACGATTCATTATAATCATGAAATTGGAGAATAGATTAGTTCCTCATTACAAAAATTATATAACTGTAAATTTTCTATCTTAAGTTCCGGTTTCAGGCTTACTAAATTCCATAATTTCTAATAGTAAGGTGGCTGGAAAGTGTTACTCTGTAAATTTGAAAATATTGTCGTCTATAGTGACGTGGGTGCTATTGATCTGTTTTATTATGTTATTGTGATAATCGCGAATATTTGAATTAAAGTACGAACTAAGAAACCCAGAAATAACGTAATAGGATCAAGAATTACTAGATAACCACAAACGAGTGTACTGTATTTAGTATTCGAAATCAAGCATTCAACAAGTACAAAGGAATCATTATTTCATTCAAACACCACAGTTAATTGATTGTAGTGTATGTTTTCTTAAATTGATCAATAAAAACAACGTCTTGTTCTTTTTCTTAGACCCAAGTTAGTGAAAATATAAAATACAAATGGAAAACTTACTGAAGGCACTAAAAAATGAAATTAGGTTTACAACTATTGCGTACAAAATCATGTACAATATCCTTAAGAGAAGAGTACGAATAGCATATTAAATAGTGATGAACCAATAGGGATAAGTTTATTTGACTGCAACAAAAATCACTTGATAATGTGAAATCAAAATCATAAAGAAATATATGATAAATTAAAAGTGAACTTTAGGGAATAAACCATCTTCTGCGTACGGAATACGTTTCAGTATATTCTTGTTGGTGCACCATACTTTGTTCGTGATTTCTTTTCAGTTTCTGACTCCTGACTTTAAGTTGCTCAAATGCAATTGTTGTCTCATTTGTCTACTGTAGTCCTGAGCCTATTGTGCGTAGTATTTCATTTGATATTTTTGATAAAATGTTTGTTGCTTCAACTTTAACTGTAATGGTAAAATTATTTTCAGTTAATTTTGTTTTACTTTGTATATTTACCAATTAGCTATGATACGGTGTTAAATAAAAGTGAAGAAATACATTATGAAAGCAAACCAGATTTTCCTTTCTTAGTGAAAATAAAACTGTAAATAAAACAATCCCTTTCAAAACACAACGATAACTTATCTCACCCTATTCAGAGAGTCAGTAATGCGTTATTGAGTTACGATCTTAAGGTAATTGAATATAGATTCCGAGATATTGTAGTTTACTAGGCATATGAACAGATTTTTGGATTTCGCATGATATCTTGTCCATGGAAAACTTTTCCGTGTACTTTACACCAACGTCTTGGTTATCCGTCAACTACGGACGTTTCCTATTGACATTAGAAATAATCTTGTAATACTAACTATTATTGGTAATTGAGTCCAGACGTGATACTAATTTTCTGTCAGATCACTGTGAAATATCCTTCAAATCTTAATTTCTTGTTAGGGTAGATACCTTATTAATGAACGTTTTGTTATTATTGCACATTACCGTAAAATAATTTAGCCTTTCATACTATATGCTTCAGTACAATTTTCCGACACTATACTTATTTAGGACTCCGAGTAATAATGTAAAAAAGTTTAGGATTACTAACATAAGTAAATGGAGAAAAGAAACACACAGAAACCAGTATTATATCTCATGTATTAGACAAAGATCACGTAACTAGAATCATAGAATAATTCGATTACCTTGATTTTTCCACGACTTACTTGAATATTCTAAAAAATGGACAGCAAATCAACAACTCAACATTCAAAGGTAACACTTTTTATGATTACTAGCACCTGAAAATTTTATACTTTATTCACAAACAACCTAACATTATGGTTAAAAAATGTTTCACGCCTAGCCATTGTATCCAAGAGAATAGTGTAATAAAAACCTATATAAGGTGGTGAAGATTATTTCCAATAAATATTTTAAGCTTCTATATATTCTCATTCCTACGCATCTAATGATTGTCACTTTTTAATCTAGATTTATCTTAATGATAAATTATGACTGTATAGAGGATTACCTTGAAATTATGATTCTAGTTATTATGCCCACGTTCCACTTAATTTAGGTAACTAGATTTTCAAAAAAGAAAAATTACACTAATTGAAATCATGAATCATTTGGAGCTAGATAACCATGGAAAACCTGGAAGCACTGGACGGCCGTTTCGTCCCAGTATGGGACTCCTCAGCAGTGCACATCCACGATCCCGCACTCCGCGAGGTTCGAACCCAGGACTGTTGTGAGATATCAACTCACGGAAAACAATGGCATAAGGTGGCGCAGCTTCGTGGATTGGTTGAAGTTAGACATTAACACTGTCGAATGCCGGCTCAGTGGTCTAGTTGGTTAAGCGCCTGGTGCAAGATCAATAGGTTCTGGGTTCGAATCTCGCGGGGTGCGGGATCGTGGATGTGCACTGCTGAGGAGTCCCATACTAGGACGAAATGGCCACCCAGTGTTTCCAGGTTTTCCATGGTGGTCTAGCTTCGATTGACTCATGATTTCAATTAGTGAAATTTCTAAAATCTCCACAAAACCCCTTCTGATAAAAGAAAAACTAATCAAACTCACTCAATATGGTTGTTCGAACAAACTGTTTTGTTTACAGTAATTTTCTTTTTGAAACATTAATTTCGGCCTAAACTTTTTTTTCATTTCTATTTAGATTATTCTTTGTAATTTTAGGCTGTTTGATAGCAATATCTTACTAGAACTTCACTTGCTTTTACTTCACATATAAACCATTAACAATGGTAAACTGTAGGTGTCATTACCGAGGTTTGATTTGATAATTTCGAATAAATTGAGCATTGGGTTGATTGTTATAAATAAAAATAATATATTTGTAATATCCCAATGAGTAGAAAATTGGATTTTCTGACGTTTCGTGACTTAGTGTAAGTCACTTCTTCAGAGAATAAATAACCAAATTAAAATTAATGCAAGTTTAAATAGTACAACGGAACAATGCAAGAATAATATTTGATCAATCAAAAAACAGGTCTGAACAAGTTGATGTCATGTCATTTCTGTCAAGGTGATTCATAAGTGATAAGTATGTAAATTTGTGTGTGTATGTATATGTGCATTGTTTAAGAATGAAAACTTGTGTGACCTTTATGGTAAGAAAGGATAGAGTTTAAATGTGTAACATAATAGCGTGAAATTGTAAATACGATCAGAGTGAATGGCTAGGATAGATGGTCCAAGTAGGATGTATAGTAAGACCTTCCTCTCTATTGAGAGAAGTAGGATTAAGCATTATATGGAACGCCTCAGCTACCCTTCTTTCTTTGTAGTTGAAAAAGCCTTTTTGCAATATTTTGATATTTTTAAAATCGATTTGGTGGTTGTTGAAAATGGCATGAA